CTAAATAAAGGGAGGTACTTGAACCTGTACAATATGGCAGAATTCTAACATTACTGGAACAATCAAACTTCGCATCCAATCTGTGGAATTCTATGAATGTCTGAAACCATATAACTCATAAAATAGTGCCTTCATCTTGGCAACCTTTATGTCACTTTTATATTTGGCATGATTTACCTAAGGAAGTGTCACAGCAACTGCTCAATAAACCTTTGAATGAATGAATAAAATGAATGAGTAAATAAATACATGCATAAACAAATAAGGCTGACTGTCATTAAAAACTTCACGATTATTCTATTTAGGGATTTGAGGAGAAGATATTTGGTGGGCTACAGTCCATGGGGTCACAAAGAGTTGGACATGAATGAGCACACAACACTCAGTATCAATGATAAAAAGTTACCCAGTGGCCAAGAAAAACCCATCAGTTCTTTACAAGTGAACGATGTACTCTAAAGTGATAAAATGAAATGCCCCAATGTAAAGCATCATTATGAACCACAATGTGACATCACATTAATAAATCATGGGGAAAAATCTAGAATAATATCTCAGAGAGTTATTTGTGTGTGACAATGACTATGCTGCTACAGATATTTATTTTTCTCAGTGTTAGCCTGTATATGTGTAGAGCCTTTTGTGTTGTTGGAAGAGTGTGTTTACTATGACGAGTGTGTTCTCCTGGCAAAACTCTATTAGCCTTTGCCCTGCTTCATTCTGCACTCCAAGTCCAAATTTGCCTGTTACTCCAGATATTTCTTGACTTCCTACTTTTGCATTCCAGTCCCCTATAAAGAAAAGGACATCTTTTTTGTGTGTTAGTTCTAGAATGTCTTGTAGATCTTCATAGAACTGTTCAACTTCAGCTTTTTAAGCATTACTGGTTGGGGCATAGACTTGGATTACTGTGATATTGAATGGTTTGTCTTGGAAACAAACAGATATCATTCTGTCATCTTTTAGATTTTATCCAAGTATTGCATTTGGACTTTTTTGTTGACTATGATGGCCACTTCATTTCTTCTAAGGGATTCTTGCCCATAGTAGTAGATATAATGGTCATCTGAGTTAAACCCATCCATTCCAGTCAATTTTAGTTCACTGCTTTCTAAAAAGTCGATGTTTACTCTTGCCATCTCCTGTTTGACCACTTCCAATTTGCCTTGATTCGTGGACCTAACATTCCAGGTTCCTATGCAATATTGCTCTTTATAGCATCAGACTTTACTTCCATCACCAGTCACATCCACAACTGGGCGTTGTTTTCACTTTGGCTCCATCTCTTCATTCTTTCTGGAGTTATTTCTCCACTCTTCTCCAGTAGCATATTGGGCACCTATCAACGTGGGGAGTTCATCTTGCAGTGTCCNTCAGTCCTTCCAATGAACACCCAGGACTGATCTCCTTTAGGATGGACTGGTTGGATCTCCTTGCAGTCCAAGGGACTCTCAAGAGTCTTCTCCAACAGCAAGTTCAAAAGCATCAATTCTTTGGTGCTCAGTAAATCTTTAATCCAATTTTCTGTTGCTTATATTCTTTGAAGCCAAAGATGGAGAAGCTCTATACAGTCAGCATAAACAAGACTGCGAGCTGACTGTGGCTCAGATCATGAACTCCCTATTGCCAAATTCAGACTTAAATTGAGAAGGTAGGGAAAACCACTAGACCATTCTGGTATGACCTAAATCAAATCCCTTACAATTATACAGTGGAAATGACAAATAGATTTAAGGGGTTAGATCTGATAGTCAGAGTGCCTGAAGAACTATGGACGGAGGTTTGTTACAATGAACAGGATGCAGGAATCAAAACCATCACTAAGAAAAAGAAATGCAAAAAGGCAAAATGGTTGTCTGAGGAGGCCTTACAAATAGCTGTGAAAAAAAGGGAAGCAAAAAGCAAAAGAGAAAAGGAAAGATATACCCATCTGAATGCAGAGTTCCAAAGAATAGCAAGGAGAGAAGAAAGCCTTCCTTAGCGATCAGTGCAAAGAAACAGAGGAAACAATAGAATGGGAAAGACTAGAGATCTCTTCAAGAAAATTAGAGACACCAAGGGAACATTTCATTCAAAGATGGGCACAATAAAGGACAGAAATGGTATGGAGCTAATAGAAGCAGAATATATTAAGAAAAGGTGGCAAGAATACACAGAACTATTCAAAAAAAGATGTTCATGACCCAGATGATCACGATGGTGTGGTCACTGACCTAGAGCCAGACATCCTGGAATGAAAAGTCAAGTGGGCCTTAGGAAGTATCGCTGCGAGCAAAGCTAGTGGAGGTGATGGAATTCCAGTTGAGCTATTTCAAATCCTAAAAGATGAGGCTGTGAAAGTGCTGCACTCAGTATGCCAGCAAATTTGGAAAACTCAGCAGTGGCCACAGGACTGGAAAAGGTCCATTTTCACTGTAATCCCAAAGAAAGGCAATGCCAAAGAATGCTCAAACTACCCCACAAATGCACTCACCTCACACACTAGCAAAACAATGCTCAAAATTCTTCAAGCGAGGCTTCAACCATATGTGAACCGTGAACTTTCATACGATCAAGCTGGATTTAGAAAAGGCAGGGGGATCAGAGATCAAATTGCCAACATCCGTTGGATCATCAAAAAAGCAAGAGAGTTCCAGAAAAACACCTATTTCTGCTTTATTGGCTATAACAAAGCCTTTGACTGTGTGGATCACAATAAACTGTGGAAAATTGTTCAAGAGATGAGAATACCACACCACCTGACCTGCCTCCTGAGAAAACTGTATGTGGGTCAAAAGCAACAGTTAGAACTGGACATGGAACAATAGACTGGTTTCAAGTCGGGAAAGGAGTGCTGACTTTATTTTATTGGGCTCCAAAATCACTCCAGATGGTTAATGCAGTCATGAAATTAAAAGACGCTTGCTCCTTGGAAGAAAAATTATGACCAACCTATACAGCATATTAAAAAGCAGAGACATTACTTTGCCAACAAAGGTCCATCTAGTCAAACTATGATTTTTCCAGTAGTCACGCATGGATGTGAGAGTTGGACTATAAAGAAATCTGAATGCTGAAGAATTGATGCTTTGAACTGTGGTGTTGGAGGAGACTCTTGAGAGTCCCTTGGACTGCAAGGAGTTCCAACCAGCCCATTCTAAAGGAGATCAGTCCTGGGTGTTCATTGGAATGATTGATGTTGAACCTGAAACTCCAATACTTTGGCCACCTAATGCAAAGAACCAACTCATTTGAAAAGACCCAAGGCTGGGAAAGATTGAATGCAGGAGGAGAAAGGGAAGATGGAGGATGAGATTGTTGGCTGTCATCACCGACTTAGTGGCCATGAGTTTGAGTATGCTCTGGGAGTTGCTGATGGACAGGGATGCCTGGAGTGCTGCAGTCCATGGGATCACAAAGACTTGGACATGACTAAGTGACTGAACTCACTAACTGAACGGAACCTGTACATGGAATACATTGAAACTACTGTCCATGGAGACACCAAAATATCACCACTTTAAAATAAATTATATTTAATAAATGTCACCATTATTACCAAGTTTTAAAAACATTTTCTGCTGTGATTATACAGAAAAGCACATCACACCTCAAATATACCTCAAGCACAGAACATGGAAGGTCCATTACACAGCTGAAAAAGCTCTTAAAAGTGGCTTATTCATATTTCCTAACATCACAATAGCAAGTATATAATTTTCCACTATATCTTTGTACATGTTGCTAGTGAATCATGTCTAAGGTCCTTGTCCAGGGTGAGTTATTATTCCCAATGTATTTATCTATTAGTATAAAAAAACAGACTGGGGGGGGGGTTGGGAAGATGAAGGCTGGAGGACACTTTCCCAATCCAATAGTTCTCTTTCCCAATTTTTATTCTGGATTAATATACTGACTGTGAAAAGCATCTGCCAGGGCATTAGAGGAGGATTAAAAAATTCTAGGATTTTTTTTCTCTTTTAAAAATTTCTAAATTTTTTTCTCTGTGTATTTTTTCTATTGTTGTAAATACTCCAATCCTATTATTTTTCAGATATTTCAAGATGAATTCTTGAAATAAAGAGCAGAAGCAATTTTCTAGGTAATTCAGCAAAAGACCAACAGCATTATTTCGGGGATAAATTCACTGTGTTAAGTTTTCTATTGAATATTTTCTAAGTGTTAGAAAATATGTGTGAATATTTCCCTGAGCAAGTCTGAGAAAATTCCTTCATGGATACTCTTTTTACATTTTTACATAGGAAGTTTAATATATTCATATAGTATCATCTAGGTAAGAGCTTAAAAGTCACGAAGAAGTTAAAATTAATTTTTCTGCCTCTTTTGAGCCAAGAAACAAATTATTTGAAACTCCCCTGATCCTTTTCGAGGTTCTCTCAGGAAATGCTTTCTTTACCCTAAAAACAAAACTATTTCTAAATACTATTACCTTTAACACTAGCATTATCTTCCTAATTGGCTGAACAATTGGCTGGATGATATGTCTGAAATTGTACCTATACTATATCACATAATCAGTTACTGATATTTAAATAAAACATTTTCTCTATGCCCTAATCATATTCATATTTAAGTTCTATTTCAGTTCTCCTTTGGGACAATCTTTGCAGGTCCCTCACTGAAGGTATTAATAATATCTTTGTCCTAATAACTTAACATTATTTCCCTGTAACTCCTTCTAAGGCCTTATATCATAGAGTACGGGTATCTATTTTATAAGACAATAACATTTTTGGTGACAGCACAACTACCTTTCCAATATTTGTATCACTCACATTTTCTACTACAGCTATCAATGCATGTTCATTGAATAAACGAGTGGCTAAGTGTTCTGTGAGTAAATTTATAGGGACACAGTTCTTACTGATTCTACTAACCATCATTTCCTTGAAGATTTAGCCTTTAGCCCAGTTACTGGCACATAATAGGTATTCAGTACATATCATCGAACAAAAAGCAAATTCTAAATGCCAAAATATGTAGCTTCTTCAAAGGGGTACCTTGCTTTTGGGTGGTGGGCTGTTTGTGCTCTTGTCTGTGTGAATGCTGGTAGGAGATACAGCAGCACCGAGGTTGCCTTGGGATACGCCTGGGAGCTTTCCTCCTGGAGATACCTGCATTGCAGCTAGCTGGGCAGCATATAACTGCTACAGGAGAGAGAGAGAGAAAAAAAAAAAAGGACTATCAGCCATGAAATAAATGCACCTCTCAGAAAGTACCTATAATCCTACTAAGATGCGGTATTTTTCCTATGGGTATTTTTCTTTACTGCCTTGGAATATTTAAAGATAGACACTGTCACTTCAACTTTCATGACTTACTTCTCGGGGGGAAAATGACATACATCACACATAAGGAATTTTAGTTTCAGTATAATCAGGGACTCAAAGGAAATAAGAGTTATCCATATTTACTCTTTACCAACATCAGTGGAGGTACTGTATATCATGTTATTTGGTTAATAACTTTTCCCCCACTCTTTTAAATTTTACATGGTGTGTTACAAAAGAATGTAGCTTCATACACCAAGTAATGTTCTTAGTATCCTTATTGGTTCAAACCCTGTATATTTCCCTTCTTTGACTTGCTGAAATGGACAGCTGTCACAACTTTTTTCTGATTATTAGTTGTGCAGAAATACAAAAATGCCAGTGGAAGGGAATAGAAGGAGACTATTTGAAGAACATTATTTGGTCAGTCTACCTCCATTGATAAAAATGAACTGGACGCTTGCCAGAATGCCACTTTACTTCCTGATATATAAACAAAGACAAAGTTGAGATAATTTTGAGGATTAGGATTTTAAGAAATACTATCTAAAATGCATACTCTTTGACTAAGCCATCACATAATATTTCTTATTAAATAACCAGCAAAAATTCTTTGACAAATCAATTCAATAATAAGGGAAAATTTTGCAAACTATAGCCATCTTTAAACAAGGAGGTTGCTTTCGATTCAGGAGTCACATCAAATGTTTATTTATTTATTTTTTCATTTATTTTTATTAGTTGGAGGCTAATTACTTTACAATATTGTAGTGGTTAACACTCTTTCATCTCCACGTAGCAGTTTGTGAAAGTTAAAAAATCTGATTGAAGAAGCAACTACCTATATATACATACATAAGTATTAAATAAGTATGTGTGTGTTAGTCACTCAGTCGTGTCTGACTTTTTGTAACCCCATGGACTGTAGCCCACTAGGTTCCTCTGTCCATAGAATTCTCCAGGCAAGAACACTGCAGTGGGCTGCTATTTTTTCTTCAAGTGGATCCTCTCGACCCAGATCTGCACTGGTCTCCTTCCTGTCTCCTGCACTGGAGGCAGATTCTTTACTGTCTGAGCCAGCAGGGAAGCGTCCAGTAAATAAGTACACACACACACACACACACACACACACACACACACGTCTATATGTGTATAAAATACAACACAATTTCTCATTTCTCACTTGTCTTAAGAGTTCTTGGATAGCTTTTACTATGCAAGCTAGAACTTCTGTAATAAAAAGTTTGCTGCTAAAGAAAAAGCTCTCAAGGAAGAGTACTGTCAAATAGTTCTCTGGATTATCTTGTTTTTTTCTGAAAGAAATATGAAAGACTGAAACTGTTCAGGATAAACCAGAGACTGATAAGTGGGGTCTCTCTATAAATGAAATAATGAAAACTGAGAACTGGCATTTATTTACATGAAAATACATTTATATTTTTTTCACAGTTTCCAGCGACTTTGGTCTAAACAAAAACAGGACAGTAAAATCATTTTAAAAATCATGACTTATTTTTTACGCAAACTAATGCAAAATATATTCCCAACAAAAGAAATTACAGAGAAGTATATTAATACTATCAATAATAATTGTTCCTCCCCCACATTATTTTGCATGAATTGCAATTATGTTATTTCTTATCCCAATCAGAAAAAAGAATAAGATTTAATTTATAAGACTTTAATAGACTGGACTTCCCTGATAGCTCAGTTGGTAAAGAATCCGCCTGCATTGAAGGAGGCCCTGGTTCAATACCTGGGTTGGGGAGATCCGCTGGAGAAGGGATAGGCTACCCACTCCAATATTCTTGGTCTTCCCTTGTGGCTCAGCTGGTAAGAAATCTGCCTGCAATGCGGGAGACCTGGGTTCGATCCCTGGTTGGGAAGATCCCCTGGAGAAGGGAAAGGCTACCTGCCCCAGTATTCTGGCCGAGAGAATTCCATGGACTCTATATAGACCATGGGGCAGCAAAGAGACGGACATGACTGAGCAACTCTCACTTTTTAATAGATTACCTCAAAAGTAAAAGGATATGATGTCAAATATGATGACTGACTTATTTGAAAAGACCCTGATGCTGGGAAAAATTGAAGGCGGGAGGAGAAGGGGAAAGCAGAGGATGAGATGGTTGAATGGCATCACTGACGCAATGGACATGAGTTTGAGTAAACTCTGGGAGTTGGTGATGGACAGGGAGGCCTGGTGTGCTGCAGTCCATGGGGTTGCAAAGAGTTGGACACGACTGAGCAACTGAACTGAATTGATGATGACTGGGAGTTTACCATTTTCAAAGTATCAGAAATGACTCATTTCCCATGCTTATGTCAAAAACCTATGTATTAAGTTCTGCAATTCAGAAATTAATTTCTTCTGTCATCATCCAGAACTGGTTTTGAAGCTATTAAGAAAATAACCAATATCCCAGGATATCACTTTGCAAATTAAAATTTTCCCAGTGTACTGAATTTTAAAATATATGTATTTTAAAATACTGGCTGGCTAACTATAAAACATATTGCAAATTTCACATTGTACTGTAAATGGTATCCTTATCTTTAGAATTACAGTGGCAATTACTTCTAGAAGCTCACAACACATATTACAGGTTTAGTACACACAAAAATAAAAGATTGTTTAGTAATTACAAAAATAACATGGGATATTTTAACCTCTGTAGCTAAAAACAAAATTGTGAACAAACTCTTTATTCAAAATTTAAATTTGATCATTACAAAATTATTGCAGGGTATTTAAAGAATAATGACTATTATTTAATTAAATAGATGGTTAATCACTCATAAATGGTGATTAAATGTTTAAACATCAATCACTATAGAAAGATTCAAAACTTCCAGGAAGTATTAAAACTATTATTAAAAATACAAGTATAAGTATAACTGAAACACTTGAATGAGTTGAGTTTGGAGATGGTATATGCTTGGGATTAAAAAAAACCTTATATGTTCTTCCTTCATTCAAATAAATGCAATATTTTGGTTTTATTTATTAATTAAGGTTTATCTGAGTTAAACTGTCTTAAAAATTCCTGAGTAGAAAAGAAGATAAATTTTTAAAATACACGAGCCCAATTAAACACATGTTTTTATCAGAATAGTATGCTGGAAACTGGCTGTTTTACAAAATACAGAGATTTAAAATAATTAACGATGAACAAGTCATAAGCTTACTCCTCACTCAGCATGGTTAGCATTAAGGAGCAGTGCTTAATTCTCTCCTTTCTAATGGCTGGTTTTCTCTACGCAGGGGACAGATATACAAAACCACGTTTCCTCAATGTGATTAACTTTCCACTATTCCCAGATTATTACACGTCCCACCACAAACATCTAGTTTTCTTAGTTTGACAAGGTTTGGAAATAGGAAATATCCATTTCCAACACATTTTAATTTGTGTCAAATATGTGCTCCTTAAATTTATGATATATTACAGAAATATAAAGAGGCCTCAAGTCTTACAGGATCTGATATACACTGGGTTTGCACAAATAAATAAACCAGAAGTTTTAATACTGCTGGGATCTAATTTGGCCATTCACAAGTTGAAATAACTTTTCAGTAGATTTCAAGAGACTGACAGTGGTTTTCATACCGGGTTATATATCAAGGGTAGGCAACTTAAAAAATAAATGCTGCTGAGACTAATTTTAATTCAACTTTTCAAAAACTTACATCCATTTGTTTACATTAAGATGGGTGTGTTGACTGATCATAAAACAAGAAAGTCAAGAGATGATTAGTATTTTATCTCATTTATTCAAGCAGACTTGAGTATGATGACAGGTATCTGTACCATTGTGCTGTGTGTGTGTGCTCAGTTGTGTCTGACTCGTTGAGACCCCATGGACTGTGTCCTCATGGACAGCCAGGCTCCTGTGTCCATGGGATGTTCCCAGAAAGAATATTGTAGTGGGTTGTTATTTCCTACTCTAGGGGATCGTCCCAACCCAGGGACTGAACTCACGTCTCTTGCATTTCCTACATTGGCAGTCAGATTCTTTACCACTCACACCATCTGGGGTGAAGGAGGTATATAATCTCAGAATCACTGGCTCATCTTCTTGAGAGGGGAGGAGCATGGAATCTACAGGGACTTGAAAGCCACCTGAAGTAACAAGCATGCCCTTAACCACAGATCTCATATACATACTATTAATATATACATATAAAATTATATACATGGCCTTCCCTGGTGGTTCAGTGGTAAAGATTCCTCCTGTCAGTGAAGGAGCCGCAAAAGACGAGGGTCAGTCCCTGGGTGGGGAATATCCCCTGGAGAAGGAAATGGCAACCACTCCAGTATTCTTGCCTGGAGAATTCCATGAACAGAGGAGCCTGGCAGACTCCATGGGGTCACCAAAGAACTGGACAAGACTGAAGTGACTGAGTACTCATGCACATAATTATGTATAAATAAAAATGTTTTTTAGAAAAATGGGCTCATGTTTCTCTTTAAAGGATAGCAGACAAAACCTGAAGTTAAATATAAGGAGTATTATAATAAGTGTACTTTTATGAAAGACAGTTAAGTCGTTCTTAACATCAGAAGGAAGCTGAGAGGTTCTAAGCATAAAAAACTGAAGCTTAAAGAGAACACTTAGGTCATGAGGTTAACCAGACTGACAGAAAAACACTTTTTTACCTTGAAGAATAACTTGACCCTTATCTGGAAACAAATATGTTAAGGATTTGGTTTGATCTCTAAAACTCCCTGATCCCACAGAGCATTAGATTTTCTATTTTTTATATACTTCACATACTGCATTCTTATTCCCTTTCCCTTCCACTATCCCTACACCTACTTCAGACAATGATTTTCTTTTTTAATGGAGACAATGATGTACAATTAGGTTGGAAT